GTCTGAGAGGATGCCAGGAAAAGATGGGTGGAGAAACTAATGCAGGGGTACAGACTAGTGAGGTTGGTAGCTTAGATGAAGGTTAGTGGTAGCAGTAAAGAGAAACAGAAGCAGTGGATGGGTTAGATAGATATTTAGGAGGTGATATCAACAGAGTTTAGTGTGAATTGGATACAGGTGGGAAAGGAACAAGAAGGAACCAAAAAGACTTGTGAGTTGCCAACTTGAGCATCTGAATGGGTGGTGGTATCCAGATTTGTTCTAGTATCTTAATTATTTGCTTTATTATATCCAATAATCTGCAGTATAATGAATACTATTTTGATCATTATTTTGCTTCCTGATCTATAGTCTTATCAGTATTTCATATTTTTATTAATGAGCTTTCAAATAAAGCTGTTATTGAAGAAATGTACAAAGTATTTTTTATCTAAGCCAAAATAAATCTAGAAATTGCCTTTTTTCAAATCAACACATTTTTGAAGATACTATCTATAATGTACTCTTACAAAAATCAAACCTGTAAAAAGACTCTTAAGTAGAAATTCTTTTTTTGCCTTAAAGATTAAAATAATATTTAACGGTATGTATATTTGACAAATGATGAATGAAAAAAGTTCTGTTTTTGAGACACAGGAAAGGAATGAGTTGACTAATATGAGCTAATAATGAGAAAACTGACTCTAAAGGAATAATAATGATTGGCTTGACATATTTGTGATGGGATGATTTCTAACCAGGAAAACCAATCTAAATGATATTAAATTAAAAAGCAAATTAGAAAAAGGACCTTATACCAACTGACATTGAAAATGCCTCATAAACTCCTACACATAGCTACAGAAGATGGAAAGAGGTAGCATAAGCTTCTGAAATGTTTCATGTATCTAAAAAATATTACATGTTATACATTATAATATATGTAGTCATATATAATACATAGTTATATATGAAGTTATACATTGTTGTATATAACAACAGGTATACACATAATATATAATTTTATATATGTGTGTGCATATATATATATATATATATATATATATATATATATATATCCCTACGAGCACTCAGAGGAATTGAGACCCTAAATGGGTCAGGACTCTACAACTGTGAAGACTAGTAGTTGGGGTGGGGTGGGTATAGGGTGAGATTTGATAAGAAGGTGTTTAATTCTGTACTTTGAGATTCATGCAATTTCCCAACAAACTATGTCTGAGTATTGTATTTTGGCTACAAGAGCTTGATGATACAGTCAGGAGAGGACAAAAAAGGCAAAAGTGAGGGTCTGTAACCAACAACCACCAAAATAAATACAACTAAAGGCTAAGACAACTTCTTTAAATCATTAAAATGGGGAAGAAAGTCCAACCTGAAGATTTGCTTTGCTAAGAAGACAGTTATTTTGCTCTTGAGGGAAGTCAAGCCTAGAGCAAATGATGGATCATTAGGATGGCTCAGAATGCACAGGAAGTGTTTTTTTTTAATCAACAATGATTGAAGGGTACTTTCCATGTCCCTGAGATAGTGTTTATTGCAAAGGAATGAAACTGATGAAGTCTCCATTCTTAGGATTTCAATGACATGAATGGAACAAGCCAGTTATGTTCATGAACCAGAAAGCAATTATCAGCTGTAAAAAAAGAGTATCATGGGCCAGAGTGGTCATATAAGGATCATTAAGTACTAATATGTGGCTGACATCAATCATAACATAATCAAGAACATTTACTACTTACTGATTGCCCATAAAGTACCAGGCAATGTTCTACATGCTAAATTTTTTCTTTACAATAACTCAATCTAATCAGATGTTATTATCCTTATTTTATAGATAAGGAGATAGACTCAAAAAGCATGAGTAAAGGTTACACATTTCATTCAAGGACAGGATGTGATTCATTCCCAGGTTTGATACAAGAACCAAACTTCATCAGTTTTCCTTACAGCTCCTTCTATCACAGCAATGAAGGGAAATGTCTTTCAACTTGAATTTTATAATATTTTATAGATGTAACTATATTACCCTTTACTCTCTACCCATGCTTTCAGCTCTCAACTTGAGTATTATCTCTTGAAAGACTCTTCTCTTGCCCTACTGTACCATTAATCTTGATTTGTCAAATTCATAGGATTAAGAAATATCTAGCACAGTGATAGCGAACCTTTTAGAGGTTTTAGTGATAACAGCCAGCTGTATCACATGTGCCATAGGTTCCTCATAGGCAGTAGACTAGTACAGCATGGTCCTGGGTATGTCTGGTGGGGAGTGGCCTTGGATACTATGTATGGTCCTTGCCCATTCCTCTGTGACAGTTTTTCTGCTCTGCTTCCCAGACACCATGAACTAAGAGCATCACTCTACCATACCCTTCTGTCATGATGTTTCAGCCTTGGAGCCTGCCTGCTACATACTGAATCTCCTGAAACTGAGCTAAATTAAACCTTTTCTTCTTTAAGTTGTGGGTGTCAGTTATTTTGTCCCACTATGGGAAAGCTAACATACCCACCAAGCTCAGGAGTCCAGGAATAAAGCTCTCCAAATGAAGACCATAATCCTTCATGTGCAATCTGAAAAGTCAAGAAACTCTAGAAATTTAAAATGTTTTCGGAACCTTGCAGCAAACTGGTTTGACAGTACAAGATGATCTGAATTAATGCAAAACTCTTTGGTTGTAGCTCATCTTAGTGTAGATATTCACATTCTGATGTGGAAATAATAATGTATGTGTTTGATTAAAGGTGCTGCCCAGACTCTGCTACAGTTATTATAGCATACGTTTTAGCTCACTGTTTCAGGAGAATCAATACATGGCAGGCAGGCTGCAAGGCAGAAATATATGGTGGAAGGGTATGGTAACATGAAGCTTAGTTCATGGTAGCTAGGAAACAGAGCAGTTGAACAGTGCCAGAGAACAGGGGAGGGATCATATATCCATATTAACTTTCTAAAATCAAATATTTCTGACTTGTTACCACATCTGGCTCAAAGAGCTTCAGATAAGGGATTCTGGGCCTATATCATATGCATAAATGTCACTGTACTACATCCATTTATTCTTTTTTGTGATTCTAGAACTCTGTACAATGCCTTGTATATAACAGATAAACAATAAATATTTCCTGAATGAGGGGCTATCTTAGTTATTTCTCATTGCTGAGACAAAATACTTGACACCCAAGTTAAAGGAGGAAAGGTTTATTTAGCTCACATTTTGTAGAGGTGTCAGTCCATAGTTGGCTGGTTCCAAGGCAGCATGGCATGGCAGTGGGGCCTCACAAGAAGAAACAGTTCATGGCAGGCAGAAGGCAGCAAATAGAAAGCAAAGAGTAACATGCAAAGGACACTAATCCTCTTTATCTATTTTATCCAGGATACCCACCTTTTGCACTATGTCCAAAGTGGGAAATCCTCAATCCTACCTAGAACTATGTCAGACCAATCAATGGGCTAATTTAGTAATCACACACTCTTAATCCTAGCATCACACACTCTAGATCCAGCCACATCTGAAAAGCCTCACCTACAACTGCCTGAGGCTTTGGGAGGACATCTAGACACAAGCCACAACAGGGACCAAACCTAAGAAATAAGCTATGAAGGAAAATGGTCAGTGGCTTGGAAGTGACCATGGCTTCCCAATTTGCAGGCCAGGCCTCCCACCACTGAATGCCATTTCCTTCTTTGACTCTGAAGGCCCTAAAAATAGTTGCTGTTGATTGAGGGCAAGTAATGTAACTGCTACCTTCACTGGAAATAAAAATAGTTCAGTGGTCTTACATTTAGGTACCTACACATACCTTTAGCAAAGTGAAGCACAACAAATATGTTCACATTTCACACCACATGGGCAGCTTCATATGGGATCCCTTGCACAATGGGAGCAGATGATCTGTGTGTCCCACCCTGCTACATGTGTTAACCTTTAGTTTTATTTGTGAAACAGCAATTCATAGCATGCCCTGCATGCCTCCCAGGTTGGTCTTTAACAAGGTAACTCTTGGGAGGGACAGTAGCAGTTGTTCACACCCCAGAGTGAGACACACCTCAAGAGCTTCACACTTGTCTACTGTCCCCACGGTCCAGAATTCACTCCTCTCATACAGTGTGCTCTGTTCAACTGACTCACACCTCTCTCATCCAAAATCAGCAGAGTCAACTCAAAAGAGGCACTTTGTACACAAGAATTCGAGGGGGCTCATTTTGTCCTACCCGACGGTCAAAGAATCAAGGTCTCCTGATTCTAAAGGAGAATTCGGAGGTAATAGGGAGGTAATCACTGGGCAGCAAAAGACTCAAACAGAAAATCTCTTAACTGCAAGCTTTCAGGTCACAAGAGAGGGCAAGAGTTTTTTAAAAAGGACGTGTGACCTGAGAGGGCAGTGCACAGGTTCCCTGGGGTGGTTCCTCCTTACCTGGTAGCAAAGGATGGTTTGTTGCACTAGTCTAGCGTACCCGTCCAGGCGGACCCCGGAATTGCTCCTGCTGCGCATCTCCAGACTTTACGGGCTGTGGCGTCCTGAGCTGCAGCCCCCAAGCAAAACTGGCCCTCAGCTTCACTCAGTTCTTGGGATGGGCCCTGGCAGAAGGAGACTGGGACTTTTCAAAATGATAGAGCCAAAATCTGACTGGAAAACAAGCCAACCAGCCAGACTTTCGCCTGGCTGGGCGGCGCGGGGGCGGAGAGAAGGGCTGGCGCAATGGCGGCTCCGCCTTGGGCAGGCCTGCAGAGTTCCGGGTGGTCACGGGGCCCTGCAGAAATCGAGAATAGAGTACTGAGCCTGAGGATTTAAGACTCCTCGGTCGAGCTTCTTTTGTCTTCAGAAGGGAGACGAGGGCCCGCAGGCTCTGGTCGCCCGGGAACCCTCGGAGTCGCGGCCGGAGGGGGAAGGAAATGGGAACGGCCCGCGGGAGCAGCAGAACCAACCTCTGGGAGGGAAGCGGATGGCCTCCTCAAACCCCTTCCTGCTCCAGATGACTGCCTACCCCAGACAAGGCCGGTATAACAGGCCCTTCGACCGCGTCCACCGGGGTGCCCTCGACTCCCTGCCCCCTCACCTGGCCCGGACGCGGACCTGAACCCGCGGAGCCGGACCTGAGGAACACTGATAAGGGAACCATCCTCCCTCGCCCTAGGTGATGTCACAATCCGCCCCGTATGATCTCGCAATCCCTTTAGCTCCGCCCAGCCCTGCCCGCGTGCGCCCTGGCCCCGCCCCCCCGTGAAGCTGACTGGCCAGGTCCAGATGGAGGCGGAAGGATTAGGAGCGGCAGGTTTGAGCTTTAGAGAGCGGTACTCCAAAGCCGCATTCTCTCTCGACGGTGAGGGACTAGGAGCTGGCCACCAGCCCTACTGGGGTCCGGAAGCTCTCCCGCTGCAGCGCTGGGCCGCGTCCTTCCGCGCCAGGATCATAGCCCAGCCACCTAGTGGAGGAAGGGCAAGCGGGGACAGGTTCTCTCTGCTCCACCCTTGGAGCCCCTCCCTAGGCCAAACTCGCACTTTCTCACTACAGTTTGAGACTGGGTTTGTTCACATAGGAATTCCACTGCTAGCTAATGCAGTTATTACCTCCACATGCTTTTTTCTACTGCCTTACATTTACTGGCATTTAAAGCATGAGCCTTTGGTCCTTCCTCCTTTACTGCCTAAAGCCTACTTCCCATTCTGTGAATTCCTATAAGAATTTCTTTAGTTGGAGATTAGCACTTGGAGTCAGTTCAAATTCCAGTTCTGCCATTTATAAACGTTATGATATTTGGCCTGCTGTTTAAGATGTTTGAACTTCAGTGGTCTCCACAATGTTAATTAAGTAAAATAAATCAAACACAAAAGCTTAAATATTTCATGTTTTCTCTTGTATGAGAAACCCATGCCAGGAGCGGTGACACCCGTCTGTAATCCCAACACTCGGGAGGCTGAGGCAGGAGGGCTGCTTTGAGTTCAAGGCCAGCCTGAACCACACAGGGAGACCCTGCCTCAAAATAAATAAAGAGCTAGCAAAATAAGAGATAATAGGAAACAGGGAGATAGATCTTTTGCAGATGAGAAAGCAACATCAAAAGATGATATATGGGAGGGGCAGAGGAAAAAAAGAGACCAGGAAAAAGAATTAAGATGTAGTATGTACATGTACCAACTCCCCATGATTAATTTATTAAGTACTACTGTTACAGGCAGCTGAGCTAGTTAGAAATATTATAGGCAGTCTGACAGGGGTAGGCCCTCGAAGAAGCCAACACAGAGGACCAGATAGGTCTGATGACCCTGGAGGAGACACACACCTCTTGCTGTGGGCCAGATCTCTGGACAGAAAACAAAACAAATGCAACCACATCTTAAAGTATAATCCTTAGGAATTAAATCTGGATCACCTTGAGAAATCAGGAGTCAGATTCCCCTAGGGAGGAGTGACTGTTCTCTAAGAATGCTTGCTTTCTAAGTGACTCGCTTCCCCATTTGTTCCCAATTTAACCAATTTTTAATTTTTTTATTTTAAAGAGATTAAGACAAAAGAGGACAGAACAAAGCAGATCAGAACAGAACAATGTAAACAACACAGTACTTTACCACAAGACAGCCCAATATTAACAGTAGCTACCATAATGTCTCTTTCTTTGAAATAGTTGAGCATAACTTCATATACAATAACATCAAACATAACAAAATAGTATAAAACCATTCAAGAGAATGAAAGTATTACAGGGCTTTCAGAACCAAGTAACTAAAAATGAACGATGGCTACTGTATTATCTCATTATTGGCTAAACATAGCTATGTCCCGCCTCATACCCATCTACCTCGCAAGTCCCCAGTTTTCCCCAATTTTAGACCCACCTCACCTCATGGTTTTACTCTATAAAAATCCTGAGAAAATGCAGAATCTTTGGCAACCTGCTCGGGACCCCTTCTGTCTCTCAGACAGAAGCTTTCTTTCTCTCAATAAATATTTATACTCTTAATATCCATTGTTCCTAAAATTCATTATTTGATTTTAGAGAACACAAACTAGTTCTGTATATATAGTAAGTCAGGAGTTTCATTCCTCTATATCACTACAGCAGGTACTAGTAAAAATTTTACAATTTTAAAAAAGAAATGCAATGTTCTCATTAGTTAAAATGGGGATAATGCCATCTATTCCATCGTGGGATTGAAGTTTAATAGCATTTAGCAAGCCAACCATGACAGGGCAGGCCTGTAATCCCAGTACTCTGGAAGGCTGAGGCAGGAGGACAGAGAGGTCCAGCCCAGCCTGGACAACTGAATGACTCAGCAAGCAACTGTCTCAAAAATAAAGAACTGGGAGCCGGGTGTGGTGGCTCATGCCTGTAATTCCAGCACTCGGGAGGCTGAAGCAGAATTGTTGCGAGTTCGAGACCAGCGTAGGCTACAAAGTGAGCTCAAGGCCAGCCTGAACTGCACAGCGAGACCCTGTCTCAAAAAAAAAAAAAACAAAAAAACAAAACAAAAAACTGGGGATATAACTAAATGCAAAGGCCTTAGGTTCAATCTCCAATATGGACTGAATTTAGGGTACACTTAGCACATGCATTGCTTATAGGAAAGCACATATTTGCTTTCACCATGAAATGGGAATTATGAACTACCTCATATTGTTGTTTTATGTATCTTCCTAGGTGAAGTATAAATTACTCATTGAAACAGTCTAATATTTCCTATCATATCTGGTACAACATCGAGAATGTTGTCACAGCTCAATTAGTGGTGATTGAAAGAGTGAGTGAAAATCGGTCCTGCTCATTTAGGTCCCACTATGTTTGGTCCTTAACCAAGTCTGTGTCAAGTATTCCAAATCATAAATCTGTGGCTTTACTTGCCCACTCAACTAAAGGATCCAACCATTCAACTCACATAGTTTGGCTTAATAAATATACGGCCCCCTGAATTATGTAGCAATGCAAGTATGCACCTCCATGTAGAATTTGCTATGGTCTGGGGGTAACTTGAACTGGACATTACGTTACCACAATTAACTTCCTTTTGTAATCTTAATATGTATTCTTATTACAATTTTCATGTATTCTTTTGTATCTAAAAGCTGGGCTCATTGCTAATTTTTATTATTTTGGGGGGATCCACATTAAGTGCTTTTTAGGAATTCATATTACAAATCAGAGTCCAAGGTGGAAACCAATAAATGTTTCATTTGGAGGGTTCAGGTCTTTGACTCATAAAAGGGCTGCATCTTTTGTCTTAGGGGAGAAGGTGAATTCTGAGTGAATTTGCTAAAAACAACTCTAATTCAATTATTTCTATGACAATTTAATCTCAATTGATTGGAGCTCAATTTATTTTCTTTTTTTTTTTTTTTTTTTTGTCTTTTTCCTTTTTATCGGTACCAGGGATCGAACTCACGCTGCCTGCTTGCAAGGCAGGCGCTTATGCTGCTGAGCTAAATCCCCAGCCCCTCAATTTATTTTCATTACAACACTTTAAGCAATGTTGAATTTGTCTCCATTATATCTTCATATAGTTAATTTGAGACTGAGAAGGAGAAGAAGCCCTAGAGAGCATAGGATTTCTTTACAATGAGGAATATATTTATTAAATATATTTAAAAGAATATATTCTGGAAGAATATACATTCTATTTTGATCTGCTCAGACTTCTCGATGCTGTATCTGGACACTTAGGTGAAAAAAAAGAATAGACTGATAAGAATTCTTCACATTCATGGTTATGTTCTTATGCCCACTAAGTTTTCTTTTTCATGTCCTTCAGACTCCAACTGTAGCAACAAGGAGCTGAGGCGGAGACAAACTGAACAATCCTTCAACACTGTTATGAAGACAAAATATCACCACACAAGTCCACTTGGTGAGATGGGCATTCATTAAATTACATCTTCATTGAAATCATCTTCAATAACCTGACTTGCTTCCTAAGTGACCTTGTTAGACAGAAACCAAGTCACTAAATGGAACAGTCTTAGCACTTCTTGATGAGAAAAATCATGACACAGTACTTCTCATTGAAGTGAACAAAGATGTTTATGTGGGATTAATGATTACAATGTATTTGGGAGGAAATCTCCAATATTCTGAGGAAATAGTTCTTCAAATGGTGGCCACTGGTCTGACATGCTTTGCCTCCTGATAATGGCTCCACTTCTGTCATTTCACAACAGGGTCTCAAATTGTAGGGCCAGTTTTAAACCCAAGGTACATTCTGTCTTGTTCTCACTCTCTCTGTCTCTGTCTCTGTCTCTGTCTATCTCTGTTTCTCTGTCTCTGTCCTGTCTCTGTCTCTCTCTCTCTGTCTCTCATAGAAAGAGTACAGTGGAGAGCAGAAGAGAAGGGAATCTTGCTGAAGGACCACAGCCTAGACACAAAATACAATAAGAAAAATAAGGATCAGTGGAATCTAACAACATTGGACATTATGTCTCCTCTTGTGTACATGTGGCTACATAATCTGCTTCAGAAGATTGACTTCTGAAGTCTCATTCCTTCTTCCATATTAGAATGTCGCATCACCTGCTAGATCAATTTAGGTCTCCACCTGTGTGTGGGAGCTGAGGCTCTCTGAAGGAGAGATTGCTCTTATCTGGATGAAGTCAGTTCTCCCATTTGGGGCTCCCACATGCTAACCACCAACCCAGGGCCCTCCAAATCCTGTCCTCACCATGTGGAAATGCTACTGTTTGATACTGAGGAAGCATACACTTAAGTGAGCTCCGATAGAGTCTTGTACATTGTATGGCAACATACATTAAAGAGAGACTCCTGAAAGGGAAATGGAAATATGGAAAAGAGAACTCAGAAACTGATCTCGTGATGCAAGACAATCCTTCCCCCAAGTTCACAGTCCTAGGATGCTCACTCTTTCCTCAAAGATATTCCTGTTATGTTGGTCTTCATCAGGTACTGGTTACCATTTCCATGTCACACCACCAGGGAAACATACTGCAAATAATTTCGCTTTGTGAAAATTATCAAACTTAAAGGACTTAACTGCAAATTTATTTCATTGATTTTTAACATTTGTGTCTATTTTAACACATAAAAACAAGGAATTAAATAAATCAGAGGATATAGCAAAGATGAATCAGCACTCACAGAAATGTATTATATTATTATTATAGCTAGTCAGATACAACATTCTCTTGAAATATATGCAAGGGAGCCTCAGTGAAAGACCTAAGTAAGGGGTGTTGAAATGTTTCTAACAAAGACATACTTGAGGCACTGCTCAAGCAAGTGTAAGTGGGAAGCAGGGTAACCCTATGTAACTATCATTAGGGGCAATCAGGGTTCGATACACATAGAAACAACAGCCTCTCACAATTAGTTTACTGTTCCTAGTAGCTGCTCCCCCTTGTCACTACACACTCTTGAAGACTTGACATGTTTTAAAATTTATTAGAAATCTGGCTGAGCCAGAGTGTACCAGTTGTATTAAGTAGTTGCCCTTTAAAGAACAGCAACATGATTTGTTTTATATAATATATTATTCACTTGTGAAAGGCTCTGGGTATTTAAGAATTGGCAGTGTATGTATCTCTTCCACATTCACAATCTCCATGACATATGGTGTGGATTAGAGTTTCATCCCTCCCTGTGACCAAGGTATTAAGCCAAACATCTGGGTACAGATTCTATAATATGATTAGGGCTTAAGTCTGGAGATGGGTATTGGTTTTGGATGTCACGTATGGTTGCACAGACCATACTTCGTATAAGAGTATAACCAAGAGGGGCTAAAATATGACTTTACCCTTTGTCAAGTCATAAACCCATGGGGCTGTGTCTACTCAGTGGGGACCTTTTTCTAACTCACTCAAAGGCACTGTAAGAACTATCTATGGCACTGTCTGTCTGCTTACATTTTTCCAGTTTATCATCATTTCTTGATTTCAGTGAAGTTTCTATATTTCACAGCCCGCATAATCTCCAAAAGGAGCTTTAGAATTCACTGCATCAGGATTTTCTGAGTTATCACATTAGTCAAAACAGCATAACCACAATTCTACAAAAGAATAAATTTACATGGTAGAAAATAAATATAAAAAGATAGAAGTAAGATTTTTGACATGTGGGTCACTAGAATTTAGCTTATATACAATAAAGGCATGCACAACTAAACTCACCAATAGGCTGAAGTCAAGAGCTGCTTTCTAGGATGTTATCAAAGATAACTCAGCCTCTGTAAAATGTGGCTGCAAATTAACTATCTTTTTACATGAGTCTTATTCTTACTGTGTTAAAAGACCAATCTTCTTTTAAAATAAAGGATAAGAAACCATATCACATAATGTCTTAAGACCACGATAATGTCTTAGTTTCTTCTTCCAATGGTAACCATTGCCCTCAATTAGCTTATGTTCTTCCAGAGGTTGCTGAGTATAAAATAAGTTGTTTTCATACATCTCACATTGTGTAAAAGGTAAAATCGGGCATTTCACACCAAGCATCATGCTTTTAGAAAAAAGGAATCACATTTGCTCGATAAAGTGCATGCTTCCTCGCTTTGAAGTCCTTCTGAAAGCCATACGGCTTTTACCATTACAAGGATCTTCTTTCTCATTAAACATGTGCTGTTTCCCAGTGAGATCATGAAGGCACACATCTCCATTCTGAACACTGAAAGAAACCCCATTCCTCTCCGTAGAAGCATTCCCTGTATAAGAAAAAACAAAGTTGTCATGAAGTAGCCAGAGAGAGCACTAAAACAGATGTAAACATCACGTTAATTTTCAATACGCATACATGAAACATATCTTTTAATATATTTATGGCACATATTCATATTTCATTTATTTTTCATTCTTTCCCTAAGGCCACTCAAAGTAAGCATGACAAATTGGAGACTGACTCAGAAATGGTTTTCCTATGGCTGTTTTTTAAATAAAATGGTCAAAATATATGAAGCAAAGCAAGACATTTTATTTTTAAAGGCCCATTTCTTAGCTCTGATTGAATATATTGACTTCAAGTATGCATAAAATAACCTATGGCAATATTTTGGTCTCCTCAAAAGGTTAAGGTTAATAGAGATACACATACGTACCCTTACAGATTCTTGGTTCCCTAAAATTTCTATAAAATGAAACTTTGTACTAACAAAGAAACCCAGGACAACCAGTTACAACCATCATGCAAAAAGAAATCACCTCTCTTTAACTATCTCTCAGTCATCCTATCTAAATCAAGAAAGATCTGATTCAAGATAGGACTGATTTCTAAGAGGAGACCATGGATTCTAACCCAAGACTTAAGCTAGGGGGCAGTTGAGTCTTCATTGGTTTGGAACTGGGCCTCCCTCACCCTAAGCAGGGCCTGGATTGTAGGGGCATCAACCTTGACTATATACCATTGTGAGACCACACAGAAAGCTAAATAAGCCCGTTTGTTAGTTGGTGAAATAATGACAGAAACAATAATGTTACTAATATCACTGAGCGCTTTCTAAATATTGCCTCATTTATAACTATAGGGGATGGGTACTATTGTTATCTCTATTTCACAGACGATGAAACTAAAGCTGAAGAAATTAGATGCCCTGCTAGGGCTCAGAAGTGATGGAGTCAACATGTGATGATTCTGCTTCCAAACTGTGAACTTGTGGCCCTGTGTGAGAATGATAAGCCTTTAAGGCAGCTTAGATTGGATGCATGTCATATTCATGCAAACGAGTTAGGAGATATGGTTAACACAGCTCCATCTGTGCCACAGCTCAAACAGGGCATGTGGCTGAGGCAGCTGTTCTGACTTAGGCATTTTAGGCTGAGGACATTTTGGTGCAAGAACAATTTGTCCCTGTATAATAAACAAACCAGCTGCCCATTTCATTTTTGAAATTGCCAATTCTATTCCTCATTTGTCCCAGATCCTGGTCCAAGGACTAACAAATCAGGGATGTTCACCCCTGACAGGCATATTACACTTTGAAACAGCCTCTCTGGCGACCCTAAAATGCATTCCTCCCTTACTGTCAGGCATCAGAAATAGCTGTGTCAAACAGCTGTGTCAAGATATATTATTTCCACCAAATATGATTCCTAAAAGGATGACAACAATGCTGACAGAGCTAGACAGGTGAAACTTCAGGTTTGTGCTCTTTGTAGAACATGGAAAAAAAATCTTGTTATGGATGAAGAGCCCCAAACACATAAAGCTTCTGGATGATCAGCCCACTCCTTTGATTTCTCTCCTTTCCTTTGTTCTGTCATATTATCAACCAGCCTTGATACCTATCTCTTTTATTTTATTTACCTGCATCAGATCATTCCTGAAATAGCTATTTGGCAAAGAGCCCAGAGTTTTCCTTCTGGTATTGACAGTAAAGATCCAAGACCATATGGCACCAATTTCTCATGTTTTGTAGTAGTGGTTTCCAATGAGGGGTAAATTTATCCCCTAGGGGACATTTGTCAGTGTCTGGGGACATTTTTGGTTGTCACAATAGGGAGCAGGGCACAACTACCTCTATAGTGTAGAGGCCAGGGGTACTTCTCAATATCCCATAATCCCACAAAACAGAATTACGGAGCCCCAAATTACAATTGTGCCTGAGGCTGAGAATCTTGATTTCAAGGCATCCTATTGCATTTTAAAAGCTTAGACGTCTAAACACTCTGGGAGGCTGAGGCAAGAAGTATGCAAGTTTGAGCCCCACCTGGGTAACATACCAAGACTTTGTCTCAAAATCAAAAATTTTAAAAGGTCTGGTGATGTAGTTTAGTAAGAAGGCCCTGGGTTCAAAAAATAAAAACAAAAAAGTCTAAACAAACTAACAGCCCTTCCTCTAATCCTCAGGAGACTGGAAAATCATTTGGTATGAATCTTCTTACAAATTTATTTGAATTAGTCATAAAAATAATGGATATCCTAAAACAAGAAAAAAAGGCAAATTTTTCCATGGAAAGCTTAAATAAACTAGCAGAATTTAAGTTTTTATAAAATGCAATGTATGTTTAGAAGCAGAAGGCAGAAACATGTAAGCTTTTATGAGTAATGAGGAAGCCAGTCTTACAAAAGAAAGAAAATGTAATGAGGTTTTAGCTAGAAATATTGTAATTAATGAGAAAGGACGCACAGCAGCAATAATCTCTTCATACGCAAGTGACATATATGGTAGCCAACACTGGTCACTTTTTGTCTTCCAGTATTTGATATATTTGTGGGGATTTGGTTGTTGTCATAAGACAACCACATTGTGGGAAAGAATTAAACATGGAAAGTAAAAAACAGGAAGTTTTAAAAGTTTTGAATGTATGTACTATTATAGATGTACAAACAGATATAGTCTTACAGACTATTTATATAGTGCTTTCACAGAAACAGCACAGTAGTGACATCTTTCAGTGATATTTGAATTAGGATTTGAAACATTAAAACAGTAGGTCATCATCAAGTCCCATTACAAAAAACTAAATCTTAATAAATTAAGTTGTGCAAATATTTGCTCTAAAATAAATAAATTTGGATAAATAAGCTTTCTCTTTTATAAGGCAACTCTGTTTTGATCTACTAATCATATATGTAATCACTTCATTTGCTTTGCAAAAGTACCACTATCATTTGCTTTGCAAAAGTACCACTAAAGAATAAAACTACTTTTAACACTAGCTTGAAAAATACTATATTGAGACATACATACCATTCCCGCTTGCGTGTACTGAACAATCATAATTCACTAGCAGTGTGGTGGAGTTAGTGGAGTTACTACTTGACTGTAAGGAATTTGAAGAGCTGGATACTCCTTGGTTTACAGTCTGCTTCTTTAAACCATTAGTAGCAGTTTTACTCCAGTCTACAGCAGAATAAGCATTACAGAAAAACAGGGCAGTATGTTGAAGCTTAAATGCAAGAGACAGATTACAGTGTAACAAGTTCTAGAAACTGGATTCTCACTAAGATCTTACTGAGAAGTCACACATTTCATAGGTTGGTGTGATAAAAAGTACTTTCACTTAGACTATATATATTTGTTCTTCAAATGACTATCTGGTTCAAAGCAAATTATATTCTCCTAAAACTAAAAGCCAAGATAATTTGATTGTGTCTATAAATATTCACTGAATTAGATAGTAATTCTGAGTCTCCAGCTGTCCTAACAAGAATACAAATCAATTCTGTTGCAATGTCTGATCGTTCTTGAGTCCGTACAAATAATCGACCTCTGCATGCTGCCATTTTCTGAGTACTGAGTCTGGGGCCTCCCAGGTACTGCAAAGGTAGTATTCATGCAAAAGGAATCCAGTCTTTTCAAATAGTACTTACTTTTTTGTATTTTCTTAAAAATCAGTTATTTGCTCTACTACTCAATAAGGAATAGCTGAAAATAACTTCAAAATAACTCAGTAGGTGTCAAAGTGTATATATAAAATTTGGCCAGCTAACAAATAAAGCAACTGACAACCAGAACCTCTAGAGGAAGGGTTGAGCCAAGCTTTAAAAAGTTATGAAGGAAAATATTAAAGTTTCCTTGGGAAATTAAAAAAAAAAAAACATGAGCTCAGTAAGAAAGAAACTCTAAAAATTTCACCATTGTTTTGTTCTAGAAGCAACCAACCCACTAATTCTATTGCTCACAAAATTCTCAGATATAAACAATGGTTTTTAATTCACTAGGTTTTGTTCCTCCTAATGTTCACAACAAATATTTTCTGTTGCATGGGTTCTGTTTCCTGATTTTCAGATCCAATGACCCTTTGGAAATGACTGCTTGGGCTCTCAATTTATACATCTTTTCTCTGAGATTTAAGAGGAAGAGAAAGTAAATATTTACCAGAATTTTCAGCCAGCCGTAACTTTCCGCAACAAAGGTACCGTCTCCATTGCTTCCTGACATTCTCTTTTGCTACACAGTAGAAGATGAATATGAAGGATCCTAAAGGGGGAGAAAAGAACCATAACATAATGAATTCCAAATTAAGGTCATATGAATGTCATATGCTTACTTTGCATAAGACATAAAATCTTTGGCAGCTATGGGTAAAGTGAAATTTTGCAAATTGAAGCTTTCTATGGAAAAGCATCCAGGGGATGCTTCTCTTTTAATTTTTGTAAAATAAAGACTATTTTAAAAAGAATGATAACTTTACATTTTTGAAAATACATTCACTGTCTGTCTTCTCACATCTGATCCTTGGCCCTTCCCTGTCTTCCACCTACCTAGTATTCTAGCCACGACTTTGGCTGCTACCTCTCCTTCCCTTTGGATTCATAATCCATTTCGAAATTCTGTTAAATGTCATCTTTTCTAGTCTCACATCCATCTTTCCCACCGTCCTGCCTACTGCTGGGCTCCTTGCTTGGGCCTTGCCCTATGTGCAGCAAGCCTGAGGGTGGCAGCAATGGGCAAATCTACTACCTCCCTTGGACCTGCTCAAGGAAACACTCCTCTGATGTCCTGGCAAATACAGGCAGCTGAAAACTTGAAAGGGCCCTTGGACTCCAGCTCCTGCCCACCACTATCCCTAGTCACCCAGTCTAGGGCTTCACATACACCTCCAGCTCTGCTATTCCCCAAGACTTTTGTCAATACTTGCTCCATGTATAGGTGAATTTTGAGCTCTCTCTCTCTCTCTCTCTCTCTCCCCCCTTAACACTTCATTTAGATACTCTTTTTTTTTTTTTTTTTTTTTTTTTGCTTTTCTTCAGTACTAGGAATTTAAACCAGTTCACTGCACTGAGCTATTTCCACAGCCTTTTTTTTTCTCTTTTTTTTGAAATAAGGTCTCATTAAGTCACTAGGCTGGGCTCAATCTTGCTACCTTCCTGCCTCATCATCCAAGAGTGCTGGGATTACAGGAATGTACCATCACATCCAGATGTTTGTCTATTTTTATATTTTTCATTTTAAAATACCAGATTTTATTCTAAAGGCACACATGCCCACCCTCAAGACTGATGTGTAAATATTGAGCACCTGTTCTCAAATGCCACCCTGGGAGGCCACCCTTGGTTGCATTAGGGGAGAAACAACACAGTTGAATCAGAATTAGAATCAATCAAACTGTCTATCTTCTTTAATCAACTCAAAAGCATTGTGAATTAGGTATAGAAGAAGTATTCATTCATACTTTAATGAGAAGATATTCTTGGGAAATGAAGAAAAAGAAGCAGGTTTGTTTTCCATTAAATACACGAAGGTAGCTACCTAACTTTCACATTACTGACTAGTGTGATTTGTGTATATTTTTTCTCTTAAAGTGCCTATTTGAGTATGACACTGTGGGCAAAAAGAAACATTTCCCAAAACCCTTACAAATAACTTGCTTGGGGTGGTGTTGGTTGAATTTAATACTATATAGTGCAACACATACAATATACCAATTCAGCAATGTGTATATTACAGGTAAAAATGAACAACTACATATAACCAACAATGTATTTCTGACCTCATTTCTCTGGTATCAAACAAACAAACAAAAAATCTAAAGGCCAAATTTGGTATCTGAATTTCATCTCAGGGTGGGATTGCTTTGAAAACCATCAAAATGGCTGATGGAACTATGCGGGGGAGCAGCATGGGAGTTAAAAGCAATAGGAAAACAAACAGAGCAGAATGCAGGGAAAGCGCATTCTATGAAGATGGGGATTCAAAGCAAACCAAGGGACAGTGTTTATTAGTTAATGTAATTGTTTATTAATTAATGTAAACCTATTGTTCATTAAAATAAACCTATTAGCCTCGCTGGGCTTTTAATGCCAAAGTATTTTCATTAAAAATTAACACCTGACAAGCCTTTTTACAACACTGCTGTTTAGAAAATTAGTCATTTGCTCTTCTGTATGAAGGATCCAAAATGAGGTAGCTGGGCTTTGGGTGACACACAGAGCCTGGCCCTCACTGCTACCAGGTCAGCTCTGCATTTTGTAAGGATTAACTCCTGAGCATGACTGCTACCACTTAGGTCTGGTTATTGCCTTTTCATTTATCATAGTCTCCAAACCAAACACTGGTAAGCGTCATGAACTCCCACAGGGAAATTTATGGTATGTGCATTTTACTATATGGAGGATCTACTTTGAGAAATAAGTTTAAAAAATAAAAAGAAGGAACCAAGTGAAGGAAGACTAATTGGCTCTCTCTTAGAATGAGTTCTTGGTAGGTTCCTCTCAAGAGTTTCTCTGAGAAGATAATGATGGATAAAAGAGAGAGAGAGCGAAAGCAAGAACGAGAGCGAGAGCGAGAGACAGAGAGAGTGAGAGAGAGAAACTGAAAGACAGAGAGAAAAGCACTGTTTTTTGAATTTAGTGAATCTTCAAGAATCTCTAAATTTAGTTCTCTGCAATAAATCTTTTCTGCAACAAATATATCTTAAGCCGGTAAACAAGTCATTTTGCAGATACTCATGTAGCAGTGATATTTTTATATTCAACTGGGATCATTCAGTTCATATTTAATGTTGTAGAGCTTACCTTGTAGGGTGTTAAAGATGGCAAAGAGATACATAAAGGTGACATTCACTGGTCCCCAGGCAAAGAAGGCAAAGCCCCAAGTAATTCCCAGTAAAAATGTAAGGCCAGCAATACTTCTGAGGTCTTGAATACTAGTTTTTCTCTGGGCTCCCAATTGCTTCTTCTTTTTAATTCTACAGAGCTGAACCAGGACGACAATGAACATGCTGATATTCAGCAAAAAAATCACACAGAAATATCCCACAACTGTAATATAGAATACTGCATTGCTGTTGATCCAGCAGCTGGAATTTGGAGGGAAGAAAAACAGGGGAAAACTATTACAATGATGAAATCATGTCCCAAAAGGTATACTGAATCTATAAATTTTAAAGAAATATTTTCGACAAGTACAAGAAAAAGAAAATGATAAAACCAAAGTTCCATAGGGAAAAGAATCTAAGGGTTTATTTTAGAATATCAATGACTACAAATATTTTTAAAATATACTTTTAAACATTCAAGATTTCACCCTCGTAAATCCTAGTAATTCTATTCCATGAGTTTTATTAATATAATAAATATAGTTCTCCCTAATTCTTTTTTCTTCTCAAAATAGTTCCTCCTAATTTGTTACTTAAATTTCAGCATGTCATTTCCAGCTGGCTTATCTCATTACATGTGATGGGGAAGGCCAGATGTATTAATATGACCAGTTTTATTAAGGTAAGAGCTGAAGTCAAAATGCTGATTAGATCCTCTCCTTGGAGAATTTAATTTTCCAGTTTGCTTTACATTCCTGGAGTGGGGCAGGCTGGGTTGGGGGCGACTTTGTACTCACAAGTCATCTGGTGAGCCATTGGGAAATCTCCCATAGGATCCAAGCCCATAATTGTTTGGGGATATAGACAGGACAATGGTCACAACCACGGCTGGTACCCCTGTAAGATAGGAAATATTTGTCACACATACTTCTAACAACCAAAGGTGGTGAAAAGAAAGACCAGAGATCATTTTACTTTCTTCTGTGGCTTGGCAAAGACTGGCTAGTTATTCACTAAACCAGTTATTTTTCTTTGGCACACAGCTGGAGGCACCTGGCCTCCCTAGCGGCCAGGTATGCATGGCCACACCATATCCTCTGGCCAGTAGGATACAGGCTGAAGTGATTTGCTTCACTCTAGGTCTGCCCCAAAGAAACTTACTATAAGATCCTGTGTTCTCTCTTTATGACAAAAATTCAAAGATACCTTGAAAGTTCATCTTAAAGCAGTCTTCATCAACTTATATCTTTGAATAACCACAAAAGCGGAGATTCCTCTAAGCCCTCTAACTGGACTGCACATGGGTGAGAAATGATCTATTGAGACTTGAAGTTAGACTAAAGGATTTTCTGTTACAGCAGCTAGTGTTACTTAAGCAACTCCTAATAAATGGTTTACTATGAAAACAAAAGTCCTCAATTGATTATTTTGAACCTGATGGATGAACTCGCATGTCCTGTGTAATTCTGGGATAGTGACTGCCACTATGTTGGCACTCTTAAGGCCAATGGTTATTTCTGCTTAGAGTATACATCGGAGTTTCTCTGGTTATTTGTTTTTGTTCATGAGGGTGAATCCTATATTTTTTGTTGTCCCTGTTTTTGCTGTTTCATTCCTTCCTTCCATTCTACCTTCTTTACCAGTTTCCTCAAGCTTGGACAAACTTCCCCTGCCCCTCAGCCTTCCTTCTAATCTCTTCTTTCTGTATTTCTCCATTTTCCTCCTCTCTCTCTTTTTTTTAACTTTCTCTTCTTAGGGTACAATTGCTCTATTGAGTGGATATTTACTGTACATAATTTTCTGATTTGTCTTAGATTTGGTTATATAGTAATAAATCTTATACATATTGTTAAAAGTAGCAAATTATTAATTTCCAGTATGTGTCCAATGCTACTGTCATTGCTAATTGTACTGCTTTAGGCAAGGTGACATAGTTGCTGTTGTTAATTGACCTTACTTATATGCCAATACCTAGAATGTTTGGGGGGACATAAAAAATACTATAGACCAGTACCAAGCCACTAGGTGCTAGGTCAAACAGGTTGCAACTCTTCATCCTTAATGACCATAAGAAGCAGGATTCTGGGACAAGCTCAAAGGCCAAGAGCCAGTTACCGCTAGAAGACATCCCTAAAAAGCAGTTATTTCCTAAAGAAGTTTTGATACTAGTAATAAAGCTATCTCCCATAAGCAATTTACAAGCATCAATGCAGAAAACAAATTTAAAAAAAAAAACAAAATCGAAAATGAAAAAACACAGCAGCAAAATGTACTCGCAGATCACTAGCTCATCAAGGCAAATCCAAGAGGCCCTGAGGTAGAAGAAATCAAAAGCCACCCAGATAAAATGTCTGAAATGGTAGTAGTGGAGTTAACAAAGCAGAAGAATGAATCTTTGGAAAAACACAAAACAGAAATAATTACACAGACAATTAAAGAGACAATGATCATAACGAAGGACATGGTTAGTAAACCTAGAATACAGATTTTTTTTAAAAAGAGGAGCTTAGGAAAGTGATGGAAACCATGAAAGACCAACATAGGAAAAAACTGGATTCCATAAGACAAATTCAAATGCATACACAGGAGTTTGAAAAATTTATTGAAAGTATATGCAGCAAAATCAATCAATGTGAAGACAATATCAGCTATATAAGATAGGGTTACAGTTAGTAATCATCAAATGAAAGATTTCTTTAAAATATCACGGGACCATAAAATATAAATCTAACAGCTGCTAGACAATGCAAAGAATAATAATATAAGACTAATTGGAAACACTGAAAAAAATCAAAAGATGGCACAAAGGATGTAACCCTGTTCATGGAGGAAAAGCAGAAAACTTTCTAAGCATGGAAAGAGAATTTGACATACAGATAAGTGAGGCATATAGAAATCTTATTAGCCATGATCAGAAAGAAGCTACGCCAAGGCAGATAATAGTCAAGATTCCAGAAATTCAACACAAGATCAGAATATTAAAAGTCATTAGAGAAAAGAAACAAGTCACCTATAAAAGAAAACCCATCTTAATCACAGCAGACTTCTCAACACAAACCCTTATGTCAAGGAGAACTTGGATTGAAGTATTTCAGGCCCAAAAAGGAAATAATCTCTAATCCAGATTGATATAGCCCAAAGAAACTGTCTTTCAGAAATAATGAAGAAATAAGATACTTCCATGATAAAGAACAACTAAAGAAATTTATAGACACTGTGGTGGTTTAACTAATGGTCAACACCCAGCTGAACTGAATCAGCACGGCTCTGGTGTAGAAGGCCTATCTGAGAATTACTGCCAACAGCATAAAAGGAAAACTGGAGGGGAAGATGCTGGTGTTGTTGATTTTCCTGGAGAAGCTTGTTATGCTGGCTTTCCTGATATGAACTTGGCTGTTCCTGTTACAGGAGCTTGGGTCCTCGCTGAAGCTGAGGATAACTGCAGTTCTTTTTTGTGAGAGCTCTGGTCTTTAGAGTGTCACTTCCTGCCACCAGTGCAGATTCCTCAGCCTTTTAGCATAGATCCATCATCCCACTGGAGCAGAATTTCTAGTTTCCACTACTGACCTTTGGGCCTTTCCAGTCCAGATCCTTGATACAGACATGCATGAGACTTTGTGGGTTCTAGCCCTCCAGCTGGAAAACATGAAGGACATTGCCATGCACTCTAAATCTTCAGTTGGATTTGTGTAGGATCCAGGCCCTCTGCTGGATTCTTTGGGTCTCTAGTACATAAACAGATTGTTTGCATTCTTTTGCATTTGACTTTTTGGGAGAGTATTACAAAATAATCTTATAAATTATATGTGCTTCAACAAAGAAGAAGGCGGTAGCTGGTGGAGCCTTCTCCTGGAGCTGGACTCACTGCATCAGAGGAACTGTTGAAACCTGGAGACACAGTCATGGTGATGGTGGTGGCTTGCAACTCCAGAGGCCTCTGTGGAGAGAACATGGCAGTGGAAGACTGTGCTGGCTCTTAGTGAGTGACAAGGAGTCGGTCCTCCTACAGGAGATTGTGATTGGCCAGGAGACATTTTGGAGGCGGAGTGAATAAGCCTGGAACCAGAACTGCTGCCAGCTTCCTCCAGCAGATCCTAGTTGGACACACACTTGTGGAAAATGCTTGGGCTGGGGCAAGCCAAATGAGTCTGTGGTCTTGGGGCAGGCTTGCTATGGTTGTCTACTACTCTGTCATAAAGCAGCTCCTGGCTTGCAGGTATACAGTGGCACAATTTGGAATGCTGTCTCCACAGGCTATCTACTAGTAAATCTAGAGAGAATCCTGGAGAATCCTGGAAGTGGACTATTTGTTGTTATTGTTTTCTTGTTTGTTTGTTTTATTCAGTTTATTTTTTATTTCTCTTTCTCTTTTATTGTTTTCTTTTTATTTTTTGAGTGCAAATGTGGTTCCTAACCTCCTTGTGGGTATGGGTTTGTTCTGTTCTACCTTTTCTCTCTTCTCTTTTCCTTCAGTCTTCTGCATCAGTTTCCCCAAGTTGGTGGGATCCATCTTTGTCCTCCAACCTACTTGTAATCTCTTTCTCTTTTCCTATTTCTCTGTTTTCTCCTTAATCCACTTTAAATCTTAACCCTTGGGGACAGAATTGACATATTACAGACTTATATACTATATATAATTGTTTTGCATTCTGTTACATGGTCACAAATTGTTTATATGGTTAAAAGTTGAAAATCAGGGGTTGGCTCAGTATATAGTTTCATAGGCTGGGTTTGATGCTATTGGTACCACTATAGCCAAAATTGACATAATTGTTCTAAATAGCTGTTGGCCCTGATAATCCATGACTGAGACTGATTAGGGGATCACACAGAATACTGTGGCATGGTGCCAAAGAACCAGGGACTAGGCCAGGGGAACAATAGCTTCTCATCTCCAACAAACTGTGGTTAAGATCTCTCAACAGACTCAGAGCCCAAAAACCAGCTACACCTGGAAGATATGTCAGAGAAGTGATAATCATCTGGGTGTCCTAAATACCACCAATAAAGCAACCAACTGTAGGTAACTAACAAGTATCACTCCAGGAATTAAACTAAAAAAGAAAAGAAATGAGAAAATACTTAAACAAGACACAACCTCAGGTACCCAGTTCACCAAAGGCAAAGCCAAGGGGCAGTGAGGCTGGAAAATCTGAAAGCCCCCTACCAGGTCTCTCCAAAGTGGTAACAATTGAATGAGGCTCTAGAAAAAAAGAAATCAGAAATAATTTCTCAAATAACTACAGATATTACCAAAATACACACTTATTAGTGATGTTAGAGCAGACATAGACAAAAAAATAAATGAGCTTAAGCAAATTGTGGAAGCACAACATAGGAAAACATGGAATTCATAAAGCAGATTCAAGCAGATATCCAGGAGAATAAAAACTCCATTGGAAGTATTCAAAGAAATTAGGCCAGTGTGAGGACAGGATCTCAGATATTGAAGACAGGCTTGCAGTTAATGACCAGGAAAAGATAGAATTCTCATAATTAGCAAGGAAACATGAGAAATCAATGCAGTAGCTGCTAGATGAGACAAAGAAGAATAATTTAAGTTTAATTGGAGTCAATGAACAAGCAGGAGATACCACAATGACATTAAAAACATGTTCACAGACATTGTGACAGAAAACTTTCCTGGTAGAGAAAAGGAATTTGACATACAAATAAATGAGGCATATAGAACTCCAATTAGCAATTATCCAAAAAAATCTACATCCACGCATATCATAGTCCAGATTCCAGAAATCCAACACAAGAATAGAATCTTAAAAGCTGTTGGGAAAAGAAACAAATCACTTAATAAATGAAAGCCCATCAGAATCACAGTTGACTTCTCAGAACAAACCCTCGAGTCAAGGAGAGCTGAGAGTAAAATATTCCAAGTTCTA